CTTTCTTCCATATATCTCTCCCTTTATACGTCAATATTAATTTTCATTGACTTTGTTATCATGTCAATATATATTCCCATTGTTTTTATTTCTGTTATGTCAATATTTATTCTTATTGTCTCTGTCATCATATATTTTTACCTATAACTCTTATAGCAATATATATAATTATTGCCTCTGTCATCATGTCAATATGTATTCTTTTCTATTAGTATGCACACTTTGTTGAAACAATTGAGCTGCTACAATGACTGATTCATTCTACAACTTTTGTCAGGTTTTTTCAATCATAATTCTTTCTCTATTTCTGATCACTCATAAAGTTGTGGTAAAAATATCAATAAAACAAAATGAGTGTTTATCCAGAAAAGCCTATCACCTTAATTTAAAAAAAAACAACAAAAAAACTCTTCAACATACTGACACAGCACAGATATAAATTCTGATACAGTCTACTTAACAATATAAGTATTTTTATGCACATGCATATACAGGGCGCAATGAGTTAATTTTTGCTATTTTATATTTTTAATTTTGCATGTTGTTTTTGATTTTGTCAACTGCACAGCATAGTAGGGTCAGTTGGGCACCAAAGTGTCAAACTGAGAACAGTGCAGGGAATTTGGAAAGAGTTGGATGAGTCTAATGGTGATTACAAAGGTATGGCAGCTTGGAAAACTCACTCTCATCATTCTGATAAGAAAACAACTCCCAAATTTATTGGTGAGGGCCTCAAATTCAACACAGATGCCTACATCAAGTGCCTCAACGAGGTAGTGCTGAGTCGAGAGAGTAGCTGTTGAAAGACTCTGTGTCTGGCAACAGGGCTCTGCACCATGCCACACAAGCAGGAGAAGCCAGTCATGGCTGTCACACAATTTCTGCAACCACATTACCCCTTAAATCTGGTCACTTAACACCCCAAACAGCAACACCCTTGATTATTATGTGTGGGGTGCAGTTGAGCAAGAGCCCAACAAAACTTCTTGTAACAGCAAAGATGATTTGAACAACTTAAACAAGATGATTGTCCAGAAGAGATGTAGGAGATTCTGAAGTTATCTGGGCATGGTTGAAGCCAATGGTGATTTTATTGAATAAATTTACTCTTATATCTTGAAATATTAATTTCAAGATATTTTTTGTGTAATTTTGGTAAATATATCTGTTAAAATGAGATGTCAATGTTATTTTCATTTTTGTGTAATCAAGAACGACAATTCATTCATTGCACGCTGTATTTATTCATAGCTGTGTAGAGTGGGGACTGAAGAGATGGATGTATACCTTTCCCAAGTGTATTTGAGTGTAAGTAAGTCTAACAAACTTGACTGGGATTTGAACTTTGCTCTATGATTTCTTAATCTGAGCCACTATCCATTACTCCATCATATATATATATAACATGCAATTTTCAATCTGCAAGATCTAAAAGGTCAGCCAATCTAACAGTGATCTCATCTCACAATTCTCACACCTTCTCCATATGTGGCCTCCTTTGTAAATCACTAGTGGGTCTTAAATGCCACTTAAGATTATCGCATAAACTTTCATAACTGAATCAATAAGCTGGCAAATCCTCATACGTCGAAACCGACAGGAGAGTCCATTATTATATATATATATATATGAAGAAAATATCTAGAAAAACAAACAAAAATCATAGAATGTGATTATGTTGTTTTAATGATAGAAATGAAAGATCGACGTTTCTGACGTTTCATCTGTTTTAATAAGACTTGATTTTTCAGTCCAATTTTCATTAAAAATACAATACAATTAACATAATTGTATTTTTAATGAATATTGTCCTGAAGAAGGTTATCAAAAACAGAAACAGAAAAAAAAGATCAGCTTTTTCATTCATAATTAAAAAACAACAATAATCACATTAAGGATTTTGTTTGTTTTTCTAGATATTTTCTTCATTCTGTCGGATTTATATCCATTTATATTTGCTTATCATATATATATATATATATATATATGTATATATATAATGATGGACTTCTTTTGTCAGAAAACCCACACAGATGATTTGATAATAGTAGTGAATGTGTGTGCAGGACCATCCACACTTTTGGGAACTTCTGATAACACAGAATCAGTGCAGAAGATTGCCACAGACCTCAGTTTTTATTAGTTGCAGAGTTGAACCTCTCTAGAACAACCATCAACACCACAGTAAAGTACCTTTCAACAGACCATGCTGAAGGCAGAAAGATTTTGATTCTATGAGATTTTTTTATCAACCATTGAAGGAAGGTGACTTGGAAGCACCCATGATTTTCTTGCTCAGGTCTGTTCAAACCTCCTACACCCATAAATATCTACATATATATAAAGTGTGTTCCATTAACTTGCACCGATTTTAAATGTGAATTAAGTTTAAGCATCTAATGATTTTTTTTTCTTTCAGATTTAACAACTTAAGTCTTTGGCAATTTCAACCATGGAAAGATTAACAATTAAACAATTCCCAAGCATTCTTCACAACATTAAAAAAAAAGCTCTCTCTCACGCTTTGGGTATTCTCTTTGAACTCTCCTATACAATTCATCCTATATTTTCAATATGAGAGAGGTCAGGAGATTGAGGCAGCCAAGTCATAATCTTCAAAGTTTTGTTTCTTTTTTTTTGACTTGAGCCAATTTTAACATCATTTAGAAAAGTGTTTTGGATTGTTGTCTTGTTGAAAGGTGATTTTTTTTCCAATTTCTCCTAAACCAGGTGGTATAGTATGTCTTTGTAAAATCTAATGATATTTGTTTTCTTTTCAGGAATCTTTGGACCTAAATAAAACCTCAAGCCATTTTGGTCATCTGAGAAAGTGTAATGAGGGGTTAACTGTGAAAACAACATATAATGTTTCTCATACAAAATTAGCAAAATGTATTGTGGACAAATGAATCCAAATTTGAACTTTTGGTAGTAAGAGGAACCTGAAGAAAGACTGAAAAATAAAAGGAAATGCACTATAAGAACTGAAATTTTATCTTTTACTTATTAAAAATCTCATTTTAAAGTGATTTTTAAAGAAATGAAGGGAGGCCGAAAACACTTTGCCTGCAGTATATATATATATATATATATATATATATGTGTGTGTGTGTGTGTGTGTGTGTGTGTATTCAGAAAATCAACAAAAGTTCAATGGACACATCTGATTAACTAACTCCACAGTTTCACATCAAAATGCTAGTCAGTGATTGATGTTCATTTTTACATATATATATATATATATATACATATATATACACACACACACACACACACATATACATATATATATATATATATATATATATATATATATATATATATGCATATTCAGGCAACAAATTTTAAGATAATTAGAGAACATGAAAGTATTATTTTAAAAATAAATAGACATAATATGTCTATATTATTTAACAAAAAAAGCACGAACATATATAACTTATCATGTTTGGTTATATACAACCAATAAAGTCAGTCTGTTTAATCTTTTATTGTATTTTTTCCAATTTCTGACTAAGCTTTTGTATATTAAGATTGAAATTTTGAATAAACAGTCTAAAGTTTCATTTGTTCTGTTGATTTATTTATGTATTTTTGACTATCTTATTCATTTTCAAGAAACTCAGTACAATGCACGCTCATATCAACCAGAACATCATGAACCCCCACAATACAAGGCACATATTAGTAGATGAAACCAAAATACTCTACATCAGCAAATGCAAGGAAAGACTCAGGAGGTGGTATCTTGGAGTAGATATGATAAATTTAATATTTTAATATATGTACATATAATAAAAGATAAATTTTAAAAAGCATCCTTTTTGGTATGGCCTTGCTTAATTGTTGCACCCAATGTTTTTTAAACTTTCAGCTTTCCAAATACCAGGATGTAGGCAATGGCATGTTGCCTACCATACAGACAATACATGGTTCTTGAAAATGACTGAGAAGGTTGAAAACGTACTTCAACAGAACAAAAATGAACTTTGGACAGTTTGAACACAATTCAGATCTTGATATATAAGAACTTATTCAAAATTTGGAAAAATACAATAAAAAAATAAAACACAGACTTTGTTGACAGAATTTAACCAACTTGTTTGGAGGAATAGTTGGTGCCTAAACACACTTTATATATATATATATATATATATATATCTTATAATTAGCCATATACCCTTATATAGGTACTTTCACATAAACATTCACATTTATACCCCCCCCCTCCATACATGTGCAGTCAAACGGCTTCAAACCAAGAAAGCAGACAAGTTAGTGTTTTTAATGAGTTGTTGCAGTAGAACAGTTTTTGGAATTTTTCAAAATTTTTCTCTTGTTTCATTTTGCTTAATGCAGATGGTCCACTAGCAGACCATTCCCCTGCACTGATCATAGGTCGGTGGTAGCTTGCCAACGACTGACGTCAGAATTCTAACACTTTCTGTCTTAGTTTGCCTTGCAGATGACAGCCCATGAATCTATGACCAGCAAGCTCTTCCACTAATCACTGGCCTTCCCACTGCATGTTATTATCATTGTTTTAACAGGAGGGAGGGACCAAAATTTTAAAAAAAGTACTAAAGAATATAAAGTGAGATAAAACAGAAGTAAAAAGGTGAAGAAGTAATGATGGTCGCAGTGGTTAGAAGAAGAAGGATTGCCTAGTACAGCATTGTAATCATGATAGTGGTCGCAGTAATAGTGGTGGTGGTAATGGTTGCATTTGTAATAGGGATGGGGGTAGATAGGTAGGTGGTGGTAGCAGCATTTTCAGAAATGGTGGGGGCAAGGAAAGCAGAAATTGCAAAGGTCATGGTAGTAGTAGTGGCAGTGGTGACTGAAGGGTGAAAAAGGGTGGGGTTGATTGTACTTGCAGTCATGGTTAGAGTGGCAGTACTTGGGGATAAATTAATTCTGTAAAGAAAAAGCAAGCAAAAAAAGAAAAGAACTAAGAAACATGTGAGGGAGGATGAGAGGTCACAGAAAAGAAAGAAAAGTTATAAGGAAGCAAGAGAATGGTAAAGAAAATTTAAGAAATGAAGTTTCAGAGAAAAAAGGAAGACAAATCTTTGAACTTGAAAGAAAAAAGAAAGAAAGAAAAAAAATGAACATTTGAATTTGGAGACAAGAGAAATCAAAGAACTATAGACAAGTGAAAGAAAGCAAGAAAGAAAGAAAGAAAGAAAGAAAGAACATTTGAACCTCAAGAAAATAAAGAAAAAACATTTGAATTTGGAGACAAGAGAAAAGTGAAGAGTGATATACAAGCAGAAGAAAAAAAAAAGAATATTTGAACCTGGAAAAAAGAAAGAAAAGAAGAAAGAAAGAACATTTGAACCTGGAGAAATAAAAAGAAAGAACTTTTGAACCTGGAGAAAAGAAAGAAAGAAAGTACATTTGAATATGGGGAAAAGAGAAAAGCAAAGAATTATGTGTAGCCATAAGAAAGAAAGAAAGAAATTGGGAATGAGAGAAAGACAGGAAGAAAGAACCTACAAAACTGAAGAACCAATAAAAGCAATGTAGAAGAAAGAAAAAGCCAATAGTGATTGTGGAAAAAGAAGAAACGAAGAGCAGAAAAAGTCAAAGTGGAAGAAGAGGAGGGCAAATCAAAAAAGAAGGAAAGAAAAAGAAAGATGGTAGAGAGTATGAGAAGGAAAGAGGTGATAAGAAGGAGATGATATTAGTAGAAAAATTGAGCTTCAAGATAGAATCAGAAGTGGCTGAGGGTCGGGGACAGGGGTTTTCTTTTTTTACCCAAGATAACAACAACTACAAGATGAGAATTTTAGAGGCTTATGCAGAATCATGCAAATAAATGGAAGTTAGTAGGAAAGAGCTGCAAATGAAGTCGTCATAACTATCAATATTCGTGAGGTAATTATCATTATCAGCAATCAGTAGATGGGGTAGAACGAAAAGAATATATTGCAACATGCTTGTTTCTATTGGTAGGAAAGGACATACATGTAGTAACCATGGTTGTTAGATTGAAGTGCAAGCACAAGTGATATTTTCTGGGTGATGAAGATAACATGCCCAAGGGTGGGGATTTGGGGCTATGATTTCAAGGTATGAAAGAGAAGAGGAAAAATACAAGGAAAGAGGGTGACAATGAATGAGAGAGGGAAGAGTGAGAAAAATAAGTGAAACAATAAAGGAAAGATGCATATACTGAGAGGGAGTGAGAGAACAAGAGGGTACATTTGAGAGGGAGTGAGTGAGAAAAAGAAATATTACATTTGAGAGAGAGGAAGTGAGAGAAGAGAGAGTACATATGAAAGAGAGCTAGGAATGTGTGACAAGTGGAAGCAAGAATAACGAACAGTAAAAGAACTGCGAAGAAAGACATAGAGGATAAGATAAATATGTACCAAGTATATATATATATATATATATATATATATATAGAGAGAGAGAGAGAGATGGACACACACATATATATATATATAGATAGATATACATAAAATATATATATATATATATATATATATATATATACATAAATATATCTACATATATATATATATGTATATACATAAATATATATACGCATATATATATATGTATATACATAAATATATCTACGCATATATATATACATAAATATATCTACATATATATATATATACATAAATATATATATATATATATATAAATATACATATATATATATATATATATATATATATATACATATATACATATATACATACATATAAATATATACATACATATATATATATATATATATACATATATATACATATAAATATATATATATACACACATATATAACATACATATAAATATATACATACACACATATATAACATACATATAAAATATATACATACACATATATATATATATATATATATATATATATATATATATATATATATATATATATATATATACACATACACAGAGAGGAAAAAAAAGCCAAAGGGGAGAATGACTGAAATAGGGAAAATAAAAAGAAGTGATGAAAAGGAGATAGGTTTAGATAAGTAAAAGAGTTAAGCACAAAAAAAAGAAAAAACTATGAATACAAAAATAAAGAAAACAAAAGTAAAAAGTGTTTTATATATATATATATATAGATAGATAGATAGATAGATAGATAGATATGTACTTTTTAATTGTTATTTACCTGTATGTGCATGTTTATTTCTATCTATCTCTATATATGTGTGTGTGTGTATACATTTATGTCTATATAAGAGAGAGGGAATAAAACTTTAAAAAAGAGAGAAAACGAGCAGAAAAAGAATATCAAAGAAAACAAACATGTGCAAAAACGGAAGAGAGAGAGAGAAGACAAGTATGTGACATTGTCATGCACTGTGTGAATGTTGATTAGCCAGGGGAATGACGAAAAAGATTTTACAAGAATAAAAACTGGTTGCAAGATTCAAGGAGCTCTTGGTTTGTTTTCAAGTCAAAATGTTTTCCTCCTGTTTGATTAATATGTAGTAATGAGTGTTAACTAGC